GAAAATTTTGAGAACTGAAATGGAGAAAGAAGTGCAGAAGTTCGAGAAAAAAAAATGAGGATGAAGACTATGATAGACTTTCTTTTGCTGATGAGAAATTATTTTTAAAAAGGAAAAAGGATCATATATACTCTATATTATTAGAAAAGGTACATTTCGATGTCGAGTGTCATATTTTGATTTTTTTTTCCCTTTTAAAAATAAAAAGGTTAGTTATTACTCGGTGCTTAGTGTCCATAAAAGAATAAAAAAGTACTATTCTTGTTTATATATAATTGCTTTAATTTTTTTATAGAGTTAAACGATAATAATTTTGATTAATATTTCACGATATTATTTTCATAATATTAATACGAAAAAATAGAATTTATAGTACTTTTCGTATCACTTTTGAATATCTAAACTTTTTATTTAAGATATCAAAATAATGTAATTTAATTTAATTTTAAAAATTAATCAAACTAAGTTAATATCTTTAAAAAATATAACGAATAAATATGTCTTGATATCTTATTAATTAATAAGTCTAAAATAATAAACAAAAAATATATTAATTATATAATAGATATGTCAAATCCAAAAAAAAAAGAGTAAAGATATAATATTTTGCAGTCCGTCTACCGCCCAAAAAAGTGTACTCCCTCGATCTAGTATCAATTTTGTCTCTGTTATACTTACTATAAACACAAATATCAAACTACTTTTTCTTTCCCTCTGTTCCTAGTTCCTAGTTAGTTGTATATATTTTTTTATATTTATTTCTATTTATTTGTCTATCTTAATAAATTAAGAAAGAATTTTTTTTTAATATACTCTTATTTAATTTTTAAAATAATTTAGTACTACTAAGTTAAAATACGTATTTTTTGAAATTAAAAAATATACTTGTTATACTTAAAAAATTGCATAATCTTTTAAGATAAAGATAAAATTATAATTAATTTATGATAATAATTGGTGTCTTAATATGCGTGTCACTTCTAAAATGAATAACTAAATAAAAACAGAGGATATTTCTCAGTTTATTAAAATAAGCGGAAATTAATTAAATTTTCTATATTTTACTCTTACATACAGTTACTTTTTTTTTTAAAAGTCCATTTGCAACAGTTCAAGTTTATGAAGTTGCTAAGAAATAAAAAATTAAATTATCTTTCTTATTTTTTATTTATTAAAAACGTTAAAGAAAAAAATAAACAACTACTCTATAAAACTGACTGAAAAATATCAACAAGTAATACAACTCTCCCTTTGGCTTCAAAGTTGGAGTAAACTAACGAGTAAATTATTATTATCAAGTTATGACATTAGAGTTTCAATTTTGTAGCATTTAATATCTTACGCTATAGCATTTTATTAATAATTATATTGTTAACTATAATTTATAAAAAAAAAGAGTTGTTATTAAAAATTAAGTAGATAAAGTGATATGAGTAATTAATTTTAATGATTAAGAATTTATGACAACATAAATTAAGTGGCTTTTATTAGTCATAATTATTGCATTTATTCAATGTTGCACGCCTCATAATTTTAAGAGTTTAATTTTTTATTGAGTTAAATTAAAAGTAGATAAATTATTAGCATTACTTTTGTTTCTTTATTAATTGCTACATTTAATGGAGGTAGCATGTTTTTTAATATAAATAGTTGCACTTTTTAGGGAGTTTAATTAAAGTTATTAAATATTTTTAAATTATCATCATTGTCTTAAATATCTCTAGTTTGTTGAAATAATATTATTTTTTTGAATTAATTCCTTAAAAAACTCAACCAGATAATAACAAATATTTTCAAATTTTCACAATACTTTCAGATTGTCATTTTCAAACATATTTGGATCAACGTTAGAAGTAGTCTTCTTTCCAAAATTTCACGATTATTTTCAGATTGATTTCAAAGTATAAGTCATTTTTTCTAAAAATTCAAGAATATTTTCATAGCTGCATATTTCACTTCTTTTTTTTAGTAACCTGATAGATTTTTGGTGTACAATATATGATTCTATTTAAATTATAATATATATTTTTCTATGAATTTTGTATTGAAAATGTATTGTGTTTTTTTAATTGGAGTATTGTATAGGACAATGAATGATATATTAATTGGGTACGAAGTGTGTGTGAATTATATGGACTGATTATGAATTTGTGTCACGTTAAAGTCTGAATTTTTTTAATAGTGTATGAAGATTATACGAAACGTGTATCATTTGTGTATGAAAGTCCATTTAAAAAAAATATATTATAGTATATGTTTCTAATGAAATTAGAATATATGTTTTGTATTAATTTTGTACAACGGGTATAGCAAAACTTGAAAGATGGTAGGATTTGCTGACGTGAAACTCAAAAGGACAACAATGACTTGCAGTAGATGCCGTCAAGTTGGACACAATAGAAAGACATGTTCAAATTATCATGTGCAAAAACAATAATTTCTTAATATTACATTTGTTATTGTGTTGTTTTGAATGTTAGAAACACGTTTTGTTTTATTGAGTGCAGTTGTTATCATTGACATTATAAAGTTTGATTTCGTAAAAAATTGTCATATATATCATTTGTTTCTGTTACATATGTCAAAGTTCAATATGACATTCATAATTCATACAATGTTTATACATTATAAATATACATTGAACTATATTGTCATTCAAAAAATGTTCATATAGTATTCATACAATGTTCATACAATATTCGTACAATGTTTATATATGTACCATTTGTTTCTGTTACATATATCCAAGTTCAATATGGAGTTCATAATTCATACAATGTTTATACATTATATATATACATTGAACTTTACTGTCATTCATAAAATATTCATATAATATTCATACAATGTTCATATATATACCATTTGTTTCTGTTACATATATCAAAGTTCAATATGACATTAATAATTTATATATTTTTCATACAATGTTCATATATTTTTGCATGTTGCAATCGAAATTTATTCAAAAATCATACACATTTAATAAAGTGCAAATATTCATTTAAGCATACTACCATTAAATACAACAGTTAACATATTATGATATATATAGTTAAATATATTTTATACAACATGCGGACATGAGTATTACAAGATCTTTACTGTTGGATTTTTGTAACGAGTCAAAATCATCTCTTGGTTTCACACACCAAGAAGAGAAAAAGAAGATGAAATTGATGAACTATGTGATTCTTCACTCACTTCATCTTATTCTTCATTAACAACCTGTTGTCCAATCATGTTCGGAACATAATTTTTTACTTTCCTCCTCTTGTAACATTTTTTTCCGATTACTTTCACCGTTGACACTACTTTCCTTTTAGAAAGACGAGACCTTACTAGTTCATCATTCAACTTCTTCTAATTCCATCACACCTGTATAACCTGAAATTTGCGATTGAATTTGAGTTATACTAGATCAAAAGATGGTATTTCAACCATGAAGTTACCAGTATAGTTTGTACCTCTTGTGAATCTCTTTAGGGTATTTTGTTTATATATTGTATTCAACAACCCAGATCCTAAAAATTTATAGACAAATAAATATTAGAGAATTTGACATAAACAAATATAAAACTTGAAGAAACCTGCATTATCTATACAACATAAATTTCTCCTAAAATCAAGCAACAACATATAAAAATTAAATGATTTGACAAAAGAATCAGAGAAAAAATAAAAACTTTAAGAAATAAACATGTTTGATGATCTATACAACACATTTTTTTCCAAAAATCATGCAATATTGCGAATTTGATGGCCGAAAAATAAAAAACCTAATTTTGTGGAAGATTGATAGAGATGTAGTTGAATAAGGATTTTAAGCTTAATCTGATTTTGGGAAATAAGTTTAAAGCTTGAAGAGTTTATATCTTTACTTAATGAATAGAGAGAGAAACATGTGCTGCATTTAATTGATTAATAGAGAAAAAAACGTGAAAAAAGGCGTGCAAAATTAATTTGGTAGAAAGAGAAGCATGTAAATAGGAGAGACATTGAGTATCTTGGGGATGATAAAAGAGTATTGATTGATATGGTGGTGGGTAGTTATTGGATAACCATATAATAAAAAATTAATTAAAATCAAATCTCTAATTTTTAGATTTTGTTTTTTAAAAGGTAACTATATAATATGAGCTTAATTAATATTTAATAAATAATAATTTATTATTTATATTAAAAACATTAAAAGATAATTGATTAATATTTAATAATTTATTATTTATATTAAAAACTTTAAAAGGTAATTGATTAATCGGTAATAATTTAAAAGATTTTGTTGATAAAAACTAAGTGAATAAATGAAACTGATTATTTAAACATAATAATTATTAGCTAAATGATAAAATAAATTATTTTATTAATATATTATTAGTTAATATGCTATACCTTGATAATAATATGCTATAAATAGTTTATTTTTAAATATTTTTTAATTAATATATTATTAATTAATATGCTATAATATAATAATGATATACTATAAGTAATTTATTTTTTAAAAAGTATTATTATAATTTAATATTTATCCTCTTAAATGTGTCTGGGATGGTAATTTTTCTGAACCAACAGAGAATTAGACTTCCCAGTCCCTATGGAATGGAAAGTTCCTTTGAAACTAAAACTTATGTAACAAAAATATTTTTCCTTAATTTTCTAACATGGACAGGATTATTAAACATTTAAACTGTGTTACATCATGCACAAGTCTTTCTATGCATAATATTCTCAAGGTGATTATATTTTATTTAGAATAATAAAATCTTATAAAACAATAATTTTATCCTAAAATAAAAATGGAGGATCAAATTTTAAAAAAAAATAGGTCATAAATAAAAATGGAGGATCAAATTTTAAAAAAAAATAGGTCATAATTATAAATTTTATTTGTGTATTTGACAAAGAAGAAATCAATCACCAATCATATCAATATTAATCCATGTGTACTCCACTAATTAATGCAAAACGATTTTCAATGCATTAATTATTACTCCCTACCTAATCTTCTCTCACACTATTCTAATCTAAAAATAAATAAACCTAAAGTCATTTTGTGATCTTCATCACAAATATGGAAAGTGATCAGTGTTCAAGACAAATCAAAGCTTCTCTTCCCTTCCCAAATAAGTGTCTTAACTCTCTTACTGGTTTCAGGTGATTTTTTAAAATGTATTTTAAGAAATTATTTTTTTGATTCTATTTAGTATATATGTTTTATTATGATGTGTATTCGTATATATTAATATGTTAGGTTTAGAAATAGTGAATTTTCAGGACATCATGCTATTGATCCTCTGATGGAAATGGAATACAATACTTTTGTTGATTCATCTTTTTATAGCGTTATTTCAGGTGAGATTAAATTTATATATATATATATATATATATATATATATATATATATATATATATATATATATATTATTATAATAATAATATATAT